GCGTTGTTCGTCGTGGTTGTCCTCGTACGTACTCGTCGTCTTCTTTTCTGGGTCCTTCGTCGCTCCCTCCCTCTTTCCCTGGGCCCTCGTCCTCAAGCGCGCCAGCCAAAGCGAAATGAAGCAACCCAGCCAAAGCGAAATCAACAACGTTGTCATTGAGTCGAAGGGAAGTCCCTTCCCGTTGATCCCTTCCCCGCCGGGGGGGGGAGGGTCCCAGGGGGGGTCCGGGGGGGGGGGGAGCCCAGGTCAAAATACCATCCCCCGTTTGCGGCTTTTACGGGGGGGTCCTCTGTAGATGCGCTGGAGGAGGGGGGGGTCGTCACGACGGATCTGCAAGAGCGCCGCTAAACGGCCCAAGCCCCACAAGACAGCCCAAGAACGCCTAAGGACGGCCGAAGGGGGCCCTCAGACGGGTCAGAAGAGCCCCACAAGGACTCTCAAGAAGGCCCAGAGAGGCCATAATCATTGACTTTCAACAAGTTGTTATCCCCGCCCAATCCCTCCCATTTCCGTCGAGAGCCGAGGTTTCCAAAATTGGTTGCTCTTACTCGCTTCCTCTCGCTGCTCCCCAACTCCTCCTCCTCTTCTCCTCCTCCTCCTCCTCTCCTCTCCTCCTCCTCCTCCTCCTCCTCCTCCTCCTCCTCCTCCTCCTCCTCCTCCTCCTCCTCCCTCCCCATCCTCCTCCCTCATCCTCACGCTGCACCCCCACTCATCCTCTACCTCCTTCTTCTCCTCCTCCTCCTCCTCCTGTTCCTCCTGGTCATCCTTCCCCCACATCCTCCTCCCTCATCCGCCCTTCCACCCTTCTCGTCCCCCCCCACTCCTCCTCCTCTCCTCCTCCTCCTCCTCTCCTCCTCCTTCCTCCTCGACCTCCTTCTCCTCCTCCTCCTTCTCCCCTCCTCCTCCTCCTCCTCCTCCTCTCCTCCTGCTCATCCTTCCCCCCCGTCCTCCTCCCTCATCCGCCTCTTCGACCCTTCCTCGCCCCCCCCCCCACTCCTCCCTCCTCCTTCTCCTCCTCCTCCTCGACCTCCGTCTCCTCCTCCTCCTCCTCCTCCTCCTCCTGCTCCTCCTCCTCCTCCTCCTCCTTCTCCTCCTCCTCCTACTCCTACTCCTCCTACTCCTCCGCCTCCTGCCCCCTCTTGCTCGATTTCATCTTCGTCGTCTTCAAGGTCGGCGGCACCGGCCGTAAGGCATTCGCAATATAGACTCTTAGGGGCCGCCCACCCTGCACAAATCGTCACGGGACCCCCCAACCATGCCGCCACCATTGCCCCCACCACGCCTGACGCCGCCAGGTTCCTGGAGCCTATGGGTATAGATTCTCAGGGGCAACCCACCCTGCAAAAAGTGTCCCGGGATCTCCCCAGCATGCTCTCACCACGCCTGACACTGCCACCCTCCTGAAGCCTCTCGGCAAGATTCTGAGGGGCAACCTACCTGCAAAAATCGCCCCGAGACTCCCCACCAAGCCCCCGCCATGCTTCCACCGAGCCCCCCACCGTGCGCCCACCGCGCCTGGCACCGCCAGCTTCCTGGAGCCTCTGGGCATAGGTTCTGCATGGCCACCCACCCCGCAAAAACGCCCCCGGGACCCCCCCACCATGCCCCCCACCACACCTGGCACCGCCCGCTTCCTCGAGCCTCTTTTGGCACAGGTGCTCTGGGGCCCCCCACCCTCGCCGTCGCTGCGGCGTCCATGCTCTGTGCACTGCTCGGCTTCGCGCGTGCCTTTGTGTGCTCGATCAGCCGGGCTGCACTTCGATGGCCCCCGCCGAGAAAAAAAGTGCGCGCGCCCGAGCGGTGCCGAGACACCGACGCGGCCCGACGACGACGCGCCGCAGGACAAGGCTGGACCCAACCGTCGTGCTTTCGTTCTGTCTTCCGTTTCGCTCGACCTGCAGGACTGCCAAAACGAGAAGCAAAGCACCGCCGAAGCCCAGCAGAACATCGGGAGCGGCCAAGAGGGGGGTGTCTAAGAGGGGGGTGCAAATCATGACCGGCGGCATGTGCGCGGCCCAGCGAGGCGGGGCCAGGGACGTAATGAAGCAAGAAAGAGGCGCCCTGAAATCTGGGGAAATATCATGGCCCCCGCCATGAGATCCCCCCCCCCCCGACGGACGGCCGGCGAGGCACCCTCTCCTCCGGGGCCCCGGGCCCGGCTCCGTGGGAGGCCGACGGCCAGTAGAGAGCGGCAGGCCGTCGCCGCTGCTCTCGCCGCGCCGCCACGGGGCGGAGGCCAGCGGGCCTCCCCCGCGCCGCCCGAGCGGCGGCTCGCCATCGCTAGGGGGCGTGCATGCCTCAAGGGGCCCAAGTGCACACAAACAATTCATACACACGAATAAGGAGATTCCCCATATCTTCCCATATTCCCAACCATCTTGTGGTGTTGGGTCCTCGTTTTGAAGAGACGTCGCCCCGCGTTCCTCCTGCTTCCTCCTCCCTCCTCCCCTCCTCTCATCATCATCATCATCATCATCATCATCATCATCATCATCATCATCATCATCATCATCATCATCATCATCATCATCATCATCATGATCATCATCATGATCATCATCATGATCATCATCATCATCATCATCATCATCATCATCATCATCATGATCATCATCATCATCATGATCAGCATCATCATCATCAGCACCACCACCACCACCATCATCATCATTATCATCATGATCATGATCATGATCATGATCATGATCATGATCATGATCATCATCATCATCATCATCATCATTATCAGCATCAGCATCAGCATCAGCATCAGCATCAGCATCAGCATCAGCATCATCACCATCATCATCATCATCATCATCATCATCATCATCATCATCGGCATAATCGTCGTTATCATCATCAACATCAGCATCATCAACATCGTCACACGTTTCGTTGCCCCATAGGGAGCTCCACCGAAGGTCCCAATGGCGCGGTTGGCATGCGTCTCACCCCCCAGTACAACGTTTCGTGGCCCCACGGGGAGCGCCACCGAAGGTCCCCGTGGCGCAGTCCGCGTGCGTCTCCCCCACCCAGTACAACGCTTCGTGGCCCCATAGGGGCTCCGCCGAAGGTCTCAGTGGCACAATCCGCATGCGTCGCCGCGACTCATTTCGGCATACCCCTCACACGTTTCGGGGCCCCATAGGAGCTCCGCCGAAGGTCCCAGTGGCACAGTCCGCATGCGTCCCCGCGGCTCATTTCAGCACACCCCTCACACGTTTCGCGGCCCCATAGGGGCTCCGCCGAAGGTCCCAGTGGCACAATCCGCATGCGTCCCAGCCACTCATGTCGGCCCACCCCTCACACGTTTCGCGGCCCCACAGGAGCTCGGCCGAAGGTCCCAGTGGCAGTCCGCATGCGTCCCCGCCACACATTTCGGCCCACCCCTCACACGTTTCGTGGCCCCACAGGAGCTCCGCCGAAGGTCCCGGTGGCACAGTCCGCATGCGTCCCCGCCACTCATTTCGGCACACCCCTCACACGTTTCGTGGCCCCATAGGAGCGTCGCCGAAGGTCCCAATGGCACAGTCCGCATGCGTCCCCGCTGTTCATTTCGGCCCACCCCTCACACGTTTCGTGGCCCCATAAAAGCTCCGCCGAAGGTCCCAGTGGCACAGTCCGCATTCGTCCCCGCCACTCATTTCGGCCCACCCCTCACACGTTTCGTGGCCCCACAGGAGCTCTGCCGACGGTCCCAGTGGCAGAGTCCGCATGCGTCCCCGCCACTCATTTCGGCCCACCCCTCACACGTTTCGTGGCCCCATAGGGGCTCCGCCGAAGGTCCCAGTGGCACAATCCGCATGCGTCCCCGTCACTCATGTCGGCCCACCCCTCACACGTTTCGCGGCTCCACAGGACTGTGCCACTGGGACCTTCGGCGGAGCTTCTATGGGGCCACGAAACGTGTGAGGGGTGTGCCGAATGGGCGGGGACGCATGCGACGTGCCACTGGGACCTTCGGCGGAGCTTCTATGGGGCCACGAAACGTGTGAGGGGTGTGCCGAAATGAGTGGCGGGGACGCATGCGAACTGTGCCACTGGGACCTTCGGCGGAGCTCCTATGGGGCCACGAAACGTGTGAGGGGTGGGCCGAAATGTGTGGCGGGGACAGGTCCCAGTGGCACAGTCCGCATGCGTCCCCGCCACTCATTTCGGCACACCCCTCACGCGTTTCGTGGCCCCACAGGAGCTCCGCCGAAGGTCCCCGTGGCACAGTCCGCATGCGTCCCCGCCACTCATTTCGGCACACCCCTCACACGTTTCGTGGCCCCAGAGAAGCTCCGCCGAACGTCCCAGTGGCACAGTCCGCATGCGTCCCCGCCACTCATTTCGGCCCACCCCTCACACGTGGAGCTCCGCCGAAGGTCCCAGTGGCACAGTCTGCATGCGTCCCCCCCCGCCCATTCCTTGGTTTTTGACTTCCCCCCACTTCCTATATCTTCCCATATTTTCCTGGGAATCGACGATTCATTGTGTTTGTGTGTTTCTTTCCCTCCTGCACGCCCCGTGCGCTTTTTTGGACCTCGTGCGTTCCGTTGCTCGCGAGATGGTCCCAGTCTGCTCCTCGGTGGCCCCCGCCGAAGCAGATATACACGCGCCCGAGCGACGCCGAGGAGGGGGCTCCCCTTTGTCAGAGGCCGCTGGTGGTGCCGACGACGACGGGCGACGAGGATTAAGTCGGGCCTGTTCTCCTACAGGGGGATTTTGGATGAAAAATAAAACGTAGTCCAAACATACCCCAAAATGGTCCACACAAGTACAAACAAACATCGTCCCCAGACTGTTTTTGGACTATGTTTGGATCTTTCTCCCGTGGAGGGACGGGCCCGACTTCCGACGGGACGAGGACGAGGAGGTGCCGATGGCACCGACGAGGCCGGGCCACGAGGACCGAGGGCTCTCGCGCCGCCTCCCAGGGGAGAAGAGGAGGAGGAGGAATCGAAGCCGAACCGCGACTCAGCTTCGCGCCCTCGACGAGGGCGGGGCGGGGCGTCCTTGCCCATCGTGTCGGACATCTCCTGCGGGGAGGGGGCGCGCCCCCCCCTTGCGGCGGGGCGAGGGAGGCCGGCCTGGCGGCCGGGCCGGGCGCCGCCTGAGGAGGAGGCCCCCCCTCTCGCGTCCCGCCCCCGCTCGCCGCCGAAAAGTCGGGAGGGAAAGAAGCACACACACAAACACAATGGATCGTCGACTCCCAGGGAAATAGGGGAGTATATGTCAGGGGGGCGTAAGACCCGGGTACAGGGGACTCGGAAATCCCCGACGAGGTCGTCAAAAAAGTGACGAGGCCGAGCCTGCGTTTTGACGAGGCCTCCCGCTGCAGACGTCCAACGAACCTCCTCCTCGTCAAAATCCGAGGCGCGGTCGTCAAAAAACGATGGCGAACCCGAGTCCTGGCAAACCAGGGTCTTACGCTCCCCCGATCCCAGGGAAATAGGAGAGCATATGGGAAGCGGGGGGAAAGACGCACACACACCCAGAACATGCGGGAGAGTGGGGGGAATCCTGTCCTTCGTGTGCGTTTATACGTGTGTGTGTGTCCCAGGGCCCCCTTCGAGAAGAGAGGACCTCGTCGGGGGGGCCCTCGTCTCGGGGCCCACGCAAGCACGGATCAGCGCTCCACGGCCTTGGCGCGCGGTCGCCACATCCACGGATCGGGGGAGGTGCCCTCCCCAGAATGCGGCCTCCCTCGGCGGCGGAGATCCGCGATGTCCCATGGGAGTTAGGGCAACAAAAAGTGACGAAAAATAAAAAACTCGGAGGTCCGCGCGGATGTCTCAGATCGGCGCTGGGTCCCCCCCCGGCGGCGCCTCCGGCGCCCCCCCCTGGCGCGCTCCGCGCGCCAGGGAGGGGGGTCCAGCGCCGATGCGAGAACCCTGCGCGGACCTCCGAGTTTGTATGTTTATGCCACTTTTTTTTACCAGCCTCGAACGTATCCCCATCCCTAAGACTGACACGCCAAAAGGCGATGACAATCTTAGGGATCCGCCATCAAAAAATAAGGGAATCCCTAAGATTGGCATCGTGATGAGGAGGTGTCCAGCATAGGGATAGGGGTATGTTCCAGGTTGGTAATTTTTGTCCACGCCCCCCTTTGATCCATACTTGCGATCGCCTGATCGCCGGGGCCCTCGTCTCCACGGCCAGCTATTCTCCTCGCGGGGTGCCGGCTGGCACGCGCTGCAGGAGAGAGCTCCGGGGCCCGGGAGCGCAGTGCTGCGGAAGCGGCGCCCAGAGCCCCGGCCACGCTTGGCCTGTGGAGACGCGTCCGCGGCTGGGTTCCCCCAGCTCTCTCCCCCTCTCTCGCCCGCCCCCCCACCCCCCTCCAACCCTTGGGACTATGTTTTGAGCATTCCTCCTGTAGAGGGACACGCCCGGCGGAACTCCAATCCTCCCTCTCGCTCCCTCCCTCTCGCTACCTCCCTCCCTCCCTATCGCCCCGCTCCTCGCGCCGCCCTCGCGCCCTGGGCACGCCCGAGGTGGGGACAGAGCAGCGGGGACGCTGCCGAGCAGCAGGGACGCACTGCACGGGGTCGGCGCAGGCCTGGGCCAACGGGGGCCCTGTTGCGAAGCCAGGCTGGCCGCTCCGTGCAGTCGGACCTGGGCCAGAAGAACATCCCTCGAGAGCATGAGACCCTCCGTGGGCCAAAACACACAGCACATCCTGGGGTCCCAGGGTACCCTCCCCAGGATGCACAGGAGCATCCACCAAACACGAAGGACACTAGGGTACCTCCCCGAACCGACCTCGATCTTATACCTCGGTCCGACTGTAGCTCCCATGCCCGGGCCCGCGGAAAGGTGGAACTGGTTCCTCGTCGCCTTTAAACCCAGGCCAGCTGCGCAGGGTTGCCTGGGCACCGGTGGCGCTGACCCCCATCACGTGGGCCCCGAAAGCAGCAGGTGCTGCCCCAAACCGGCGGCGGCCGCTGCTGGACAGGCGACGCCCTGGGCAGCATCCGCGGCGGAGTTCGTCAGGGAGTCTGCGGGCATCCCGCTCTCTGTGGGCCACCGTGTGACCGTGCGAACGATGGCATTTGTGGCTGGAGAGCGTGAGATGCCTGCGCGGCCGCCCGCCTCGCTTTTCGCTCGAAATAGGAGGCAGTGGTCAGAGCGGACGCCGCTGCTATCGTGGCATATGTGCCACCTGCTCGCCCTTGGGGACCTGTCCACAGAGGCGCTAGTTTTAGGTCGGGCCTGTCCCATTACAGGGGGATTTTGGGCGAAAAATAAAATAAACAATCAGAAAATAATCCCCAAAAGGCCCAGACATAAATCAAACATCGTCCCCAGACTATTACTATTTTTCAATATTCCCCCTGTAGAGGGACATGCCCGACTTAACGCTAGTTCGTTCGTTTTATTATGCGAACATCTTCGGTGTTTTCTTTGCGGCCTGCTTCATCGAGATGCTGGGTACTCGTTTCGCCGTTGGGTCCTGGATCGTTGAGATGTCTGCCTTGGGGCCCTGCTGCTCTGATACTCCGACGCCGCCCTCGCGTCGCCCTTTGGACTTGCCGCTGGCGTCACACCCGCTAGGCTACTCATAATGAAGGTCAATGCCGCGCTCGCTTGACAATGGGAGATACTGGCAGATATGCTGCTGAAGCTGAGCCAGACTCGGCAGTGGTTCCACCGTGCACAGCGGGCATGTGAGATCAGCTGGCTGGTGAACGTGTACATCTATCGAAGACCGATCAGCAAAGCATCACCGATGTATCAACGCCGCTTGGAGATGTTGTTTAGCACGCGCCGTAGGTTTGAACTCCGAACTACAGATTGGGCATTGGTTAGTCGCGATGGCGACTCGACCGACAGTTCGAACACGATGATTTCATGTTGCGTACGTAAACTCTTTTATGTGGCAAATCGCGCACCACATTTACAGCCAATTCGCAATATCACGTCACACTCACGCACGGGACCCAACGAGGCTCCATCATCAGGGACAGGTAGTTTCCCAAGACGCCGAATTCAGGCGGGGGAGCCGTATAGGACCAGCAGCGAGCCCGTATAATCCCAGGGTCCAAATGCAAAGAGCTCCCCCAACTTCAGCGTTCCGGTCTATATATATATATATATATACATGCTGCGGTCCCAGCTATCACTGAACGCTTCACATCCCGAGATCTCCGTCAGGCTGTGCACGTCAGCCTCGAACAGTTGCGCCGCGGGTTTTGCCGCGTGCCGTGCGCGCCCAGTCTGAGTCAGGATCGCGGCAACTCCACTTCTCACCTCGCAATGCAGGTCGCCAAAAAGTGTCGACGCTGGGGGCTCATGGTCGAGTGGGAACTTAATCACCGCCTGCAGCCATCGCAAGCAACGAACGCGTAATTCGAGAGCAGATGGGCATATACCCCAGAATTTCCATGCTTCTAGATTCGTGATCGTGCGGATGTGCGCGTCAGTGTCTTTCCTCGCCTCCCCCCTGCAGCATCGCTCTAAGGTGCCCCAGGGTCGGTCCGCCCGTTGCTCGAATACCAACGCTCTGAAGTACTGGGTCCTTGAAGTATAAGCAGCACGCTTCACCGCCCTCGGGATGCGCGAGAACCAGACCCCGTAGAACTGCGCCCAATTCATCCTCAAAACTTTCATCCGCGCCTTCCTTTCTGACGCCATGGATCCCGACGGATCAAAGATGCCCCCCCCCCCCCCCCCCCAGGTACTTCATCTCGTGCAGTGCGCGTCCAACTCCAGACTGTTTGCCCAGCGTAGATCTCAGACACGGGGTAACCTCTTGCTTGCTGCGGTTCTGGGCGTCGCCTGCAGGTCTCAGGGCCTCGCCCAGCGCGTCGCTGGCGCGGCGAAGCCGCTGTTCGCAGCGCGTCGCAACAGGGCGCGCACGCGCGTGGAACAGCAGGGTATCATCAAGAAAGGTATTCACCGATGCGCCATAACTTCTGGAAGACAGGATGAGCGATGATCGGCTCGCCGACGGTATCCTGCAGCGCGGGGCGCCACTGATCTAGTGGCCGTTGAGAAGCTTCTAGAGACTGGTCTGGCGCGTTGCCGTCTCCCATTAATCCGCCGGCGCGTGCGCGTATATCAATCTCCCCGCCCAGCGCGTCTATGCGTGCGATCGTGCGTTTGCGTCTACGATGCAGCAGTAGTGAAATAAGGCGGCGTGGTGCTGCGCGATTATTTGCTCGAACTTGGCTGCGCTGCGTTGACGGGTGCGCATGTGTCATGTCATGTGAGGCCACAGAAAAAGAACGCCGCGTCGCCGCAAACGCCACGAAACAATGCGCGAGCCCATCGTCGCGGCCCCCCTGCTGAAGCGAGCTCGACCTCCGCAGGCGCAATGGGGAAGACGGGGGAGATCGCGCAAGCGATGGGCCCCTCGGTGGGAACTTCTCCAGAAAAAGGGCATACACCATGCATCAATATAATGCACCTTGTCTTCGGAATTCCGTTCTGCTCATGAAGTTGCCAAGGTTATGATCTATGTCCAATGACTGGTGCACCGTGCGCGCGCCGTGCATGAATCAGGAAGTGCATGAAGTATCTAGGGCCCGTGCTGTACTGCTCCTCCTCCTCCTCCTCCTCCTCCTCCTCCCCAGCCCGTCCCGATGCTCTCGTCTGGAGCCCCGGCCCCGTTCTCGGCGGGGGGGGGCGTTACTTTGGCGTTGCAAGGCAAGGGTGTTCCCGCAGCTCCGCTGGCATGCCCCGCGGGGGGGCGGCTCGTCTCCGCCTGCATTAACGGGGCTCTCGGCGCGGGCGCTTTAAACCAAGAAAGGCTATCGCATCTACTTCGTCGCCTGGGCTCGGCGGCGGCGGTGCAATAAACCACTGGACAAATCCATGGCGCTGAAAGACAATCCGGCGACCTGCGATGCCACCCTCGGGCCCCTCCTGCTGCAAAGCCCCCTCTCGTTCTTCACATGTTGCTCGGACGCCGTTGATTGCATTGCAAAAGCGCTTGCGGAAGAGCAACTGGGCGCCTGCAAGTTGGCGACAGAAGCGGGCAACAAAATCATGTGCATTGTGCTTGCAGACT